GAGAGAGAGAGGGAGAGAGAGAGAGAGGGAGGGAGGGAGAGAGAGGGAGACTTATTATATATTGCTTGACCTTGAAAAAGAAGGAAATTTAGGGACGTGCTATAATATGGATAAATCTGAAGATTAAACAAAGTGAGCCAGATGCAAAAAGACAAATCCTGTGTAATTCCACTTATGCGAAGTGTGTAAAATAATTAAAGTCATAGAGTCACAGAAAGTAAATGGAGGTTTTCAAGGGCTGGGGAGGAGAAATGGAATATTAGTGTATAATGGGTACAGATTTAGTTATAGAAGATGATAGGAGTTCTAGAGATAGATGGTCATGATGATTACACAACAAAGTGAATGCATTTTTAATATCAAATAATATGGTTTTTAGAGACAGGATCTCATTATGTAGTTCAAGCTGGTCTTGAACTCACTATGTAACCTAGGCTGGCCTCCAACACATGGCAATTTTCCTGCTTCAGCCTCCCATGTACTGGGATTCAGGCATATGTTACCACATCTGACTCCAAATAACATTTAAGGACACTTAAATATGCTTAAATTCAACACTTAAAAATGCTAAATTTTATTTTATTTTCCAATTTTTATTTTTTGTTAATACGTGTTCGGGGTACACAATTATTACATCCCTCATGGGGTGTTAGTACACACACATAGCACATCTTAATTATTTTTTCATCACTTTTCCCTCCTCTCTTTGTCTCCTTGCATTGTGCACATATTTATGTCCATATTTCCTATTATATTTTATTTTGCTCTTTATATTGTAGTTTTCTCATATAAGAGAAAATATACAATATTTAAGCTTGTGCATCTGATTTATTTCACTTAACATTGTGGTCTCAAGAAGATGCATCCCTTTTCCTACAAATGACTCAAATTTATCCTTCTTTATGGTAGAGTACTACTCCATTAGACATAAGCCCCACACCTTCTTTTATCAGTTGATGGGCATATAGACTGCTTCTGAGATCTAGCTATTATGATTGTGAAATGTGAGTGTGTATATATTATTTAATCTTTAATCTTTAATTCTTAACTTTATCTTTAATTCTTTCATGAAGGTATGCATAAGGGAAATGACTGAGTCAAACAGAATTTCCATTTTTAGTTTCTTGAGAAATCTCCATATTGATTTCCGTAGTGGTAGTTTACATGCCCAGTGACACAGCAGAAGGGTATCTCTTTCCTGTGCACATCAGCCAGCATTTATTATTGTTTGATTTCTTGATGGTAGCCTTCTTTCTGGAGTAAGATAGGATCACAGTGCTGTTTTAATTTGAATTTTGCTAATGGCCAGAGGTGGAAAACATTTTTTAATGCATCTATTTCTTCTTGCAACTGTACTAGTTTTGTGTCATATATTTTGAAAGGTTGTTGTTAGGCATTGTCTTAGTTACTTTTCTCATTGCTGAGACAAAATATCTGACACCCAAAGTTAAAGGAGGGAAGGTTTATTTAGCTCATAGCTTATAGAGATTTCAGTTCATTGTTGGCTCCAAGGCAAGGTGGCACATGACAGAGGGGCATTGCAGAGGAGACACAGTTCATGGCAGGCAGAAAAGCTACAAGCTACAAGAGACAAATGACAAATCCTTTCTGTCTCCTTATATTTTATCCAGGCTACCCTTCTCCTTAGAATGGGTAACACTCACACGTGGGGGTATAGCACCCTTAATCCTATCCAGAACTATACTAAATCAATCAGTGGATTAATTTAATAATCACACAGACTTAGCCCACTGAGCATGACATCAGAGCCAGCAGACCCATTCCTTATTTTTCTACTGTAAGTTTTGCTTTCTTTCTTTTTTTGGTACCGGGGATTGAACTCAGGTCCTTGTACTTGCGAGGCAGGCGCTGGAACCACTGAGCTAAATCCCCGGCCCTTCTACTGCAAGTTTGTACTTTAGTGTAATAGCAGCAGACTATCCATCTCAGTACCTTTCTTCACTTTATCCCTGTGGGTAAGCTGGATATTTTACCTGTGTTATGGTCCATCTAACTAGCTTTGCATATGTTTACCCCAGCATCAAAGAAAGTTCAATAGACCCACATCACTTCAGGATTTGTTCTTTAAAAGTTTTTTTATTTTTTTGATAGAAGTAGACCAATTCAGTACAATCATATATGAAAAAGCAGATTTGCAAGTTTTGGAGGAGATCACAAGGGAATAATCAGGTTACTCATGATGAATACGATCCATTATGGTAAAATACACGCTTTAATAACAGAAGGGCAGTGTGGGTGGATGATGATGATGATGATGATGATGATGATGACTTTGACCTTGGCCATGGGGGCCAGAGTTCCTGTGACAGTGAAATGGAGCAGGAATCGATTGATACAGTCAAGGGAATGAAGGCTTCTTTGATTCAGATGATGACGAAAACAGCATATTTAAAGGGAGTTTCTTACAGACAGCGTACACTTTGGTGTTATTTTTGTCTACTTTGATAAACTCTATTTTTAAATAATGCAATTAGAATTGACATTAAAGTGATGATTAATATAACTGGATTGATATCTACCCCATGTACTTTGATTTTTTTCACTTGGCAGTATTGCATAACTTAGATCTTCTTCTACATCATCAGTATAGATTTGCCTATGATTGTTTTAACAACTGCTTGCTTTTCCACCTTACAGACATATACCACAATTTATCACACCTGTGATGATAAGCATTGAGATCATTAAATCTTTGTATTTATCATTTTAGTCCTGTCTCCCCTTCGGGGCCATGGCTACCTTCCAAAAGCATATATTATATCTTAATCATTATTATCTTTTTAGAACCTAGTACAATGTCTTAATCTTAACATCCATTAAGAAAATGAACAAAGCAATAAATTAAAATAGGCAATATGTGGTCCAGGGAGTTTAGATCCTGATATTTACCCACTATTATCTTTGTTATTATATTTATTAACTATTACTTGGCTCTCTGACATTGGGCAAGTCCTATCAGCTTTTTATTTATCTTGGTTTTTTGAGACAGCATCTTGTTATGTAGCCCAGGCTGGCCTTGAACTTGCCTAGATCCTCCTGCCTCAGCCTCCCAAGTGTTGGGATTACAGATGTATGCCACTGCCCCCAGCTTCAGTTTTCCACTGAATTGAATACATAAAATGAGACTTGAGCTTCTGACTCTGAAATCTTGTAATCGCTAGCTCTTGTTAGACTGACCAGGATCTGACTGCTCTGCAGTCCCAGGAACTGAGATAGGGCAACATCCTTCTCCTGCTATTGAAAACAGCTTTCTCTTACCTGGGTCCCTGCTGAGAGATCAGCTTGCTCAGAGCCTAATCATTTCTCTTTGGGAGTGAACACTTCAGGAGTAGATCCTTTAATATGCTGAGAGCCATGTGAGGGTGGCTGTGCACTGAGATAAATATCTTTCTGTGAGGGGTGTTTGCCAGGGCTACAGGGACAAGTATAAAACAGTTTCACACAGACTAACTTCTATTTACATAAAATGTCCCCATAATGCAGGGCATTGTGCCTCTTCTGCAAAGAAAAAAAAATGCATTAACAAAGGGCATTGCAATGATGGCAAAATGGATGTTACCATTTCTCCCTGACTGATAATCTCTAATGCTACCCTTGGGAAGCCCTGACTTTCAGAATGATTTATTTGTCAGCGTTTGGAGTTTTTATTCCCATAATGGATTATCTGGCAAATGTAGCAATGGGCAGTGAAGAAAGGCTCAGCACTGGAAGCAAAATGAAAAGTGTTTTTAATGTTTTCTGGGGATTTGACCTATTTCTGATTTTCTGAGGTGAAGTTTTTACTTCAAATCAAGCAAGAATGAAAGGGGATAAAAATCAATAGGCTTTTTTGTTTGTTTATTTTGATGTTCTTTACGTGTCCTTTTTTCTTACTGCCAAACTCTGAAACTGAATGTTTGGCTGTCAGGGGTAAAGCTGAGGGTAAGGTTTTTCCCCTTATATCTTTGGTTTTATATTTCTTTGGTGTACAGAAACCTTGTCATGCCATTATTAGAAAATTCACGCCAAGAGGCCAGCACACAGTCTGTTTGGTGGCAGACAGCAGGTGTAAGTAGGAAGGCTGCCGAGTGGCCGGCACCTTAAGGGCCCCATTCTGAGGGAGAAGAGAGGCGACTGTGTACTTTACTGATCGGATTTCACTTTGGCTTTTTTTTTTTTGCATTTGAAAATTATGTAACCCTGGCAGTTTTCTGCAAAACTCTTAAGGATGCTCACACATAGGATAGCTTTCTTTTCACTTGTTTCTCAAATTTCCCCAATGTTATAAGATAAATATCAAACTTAATGCCTCAGCTTTTGAATCTAAGGATCAAAGCAATAACTTTTAGCAACAGTGCTATCCTACGGCCTTTCCTGTGCTCTTGGAGCCATCTGAAGCCTTTGTTGTGTAGGTGAAGGTCCACTGAGTACTCCACGGATATAGATTTATGCCCAGCACTGAAGTAGATGCTCACCATGTAGGTCATGTTTTCTTCTTTCACTGCATTTACAATATAAAGGAAAGGGGGGAAGCTGAAAATGCAAGATGCATGTTGAGTTGTTTTGATTAAGTATCAATGGAGTGGAAGAAATAGTGATATACGCTGTATATGCTATCTAACATAATCCGTCAAATCAAACCTTTATGGTTTAGAGATAAAATTGCTTTAACTTTAACCTCAGTAATATCAGTGCTCAAGAGATCGAACTTTCACAGTTTTTTTGACAACACCACCCAACCTTGAACTTTTCCATGCCTGACAGGTTTTTTTACACCAGCAGGAAAGAAAAGCGACTAGAATGGCCTATCTCTGAAGGACATAACATCTAATTAATTAATTAAAGGAAAATCTTAGGTAAGGCTCATTAATTCCTTGGGATACCAGTAGCTGCAGTCTCACTTCTGATTCACCACGAAACAGGCTTTGGCCCAGAAAATTTGATCGCTCTTTATTGCAAGAAGTATATTTACAGGGGGCTTCAAATGAACAGTAGATGAAAAGATTCCAACCAGCACATTAGAGAGTCAATGGCAGATAGGCTTCTCAACATCAGTGGACAGTGGTGACTTCCCCTTAACTGACAGCAAGGGAGAAACATGTAACCACTTACGATTTACCTGACATTGATTTATATACTTCTTTCCAGACCAACCACATGTTTGTCTACTCCCTCTGCCTTCCTTTTGCCAACACACTATCCAGTAGATTAAACTTTAATTTTATTCATTATCAACATCTCTTGAAGAATTCAAACCCATCACTTGGGGGGCTCAGTAAAGACCCCCTTCAAGAGCAGATAAATGAGAGACAAAGTAAAATGCGATTCACAAAACCACCTGCAATGGTTGAGCCTCTCTGCTTGGGGGCTACTTTAAAATTTCCCACTCTTTGCTTTAGAAAGATAACTCACCATTTGTGTGTGTGTTTGTGCACTTGTATGTGTGTGCACATATCAGCAGTTCTAAATAAAAATGAGGGCACAAAATTGGCTTCACAGATTTAAAAAAAAACATTTCTAATCACACAATTGCATCCTAGAAATAAAACTCAAGATATTAATTCGTTTTTGGATGAAGCCTATGAAATTGCTAATCCAAACAACCAGTCCAGAGATCAGCCTGTTGTAAATCAGACTTGCAGGAATTCAGATTACTATCTCTAGTAATAAAGCAGGTAGCAAAAGAATAATTTCATCATAACTGGTCCCCAAAGTCAAGACTTACTTAATTACTAAAAACTTACTGGATTTTTGCTCCTACTTCTACTTAGGACTAACCAGGAAAAGCAAGTATGTTCCCTAACCAATCATTTAGAATGCTGGATTCTATTTAGCCCACTTACAGCTTCACCAGACCAGCAGCTTCCAAATGGGGTACATAGGAAGTTTCCTTTTTCTATTATACACTGTCCCACTCCTCTTCCTGCCTTAGGCTCTTTGGAAAAATCCAACTTATGTGGGTTGGGTCTCCTGCTACAGAAAGATCTGACTATGTAGGGTTCGGTTTTCTCATTTGGCTAATCTTCACTTACTTCCAAAGCCATTTCCTTTCCCCATTTTCCAGCCATGGTTCTGACTATTTTCCCTTGGTCATAAGAGTTATTTCCTTCCTGAGCTTGTTGGTCCCAGTGCCAGGCCTTTGTCAGTCCCCTGGCACTGCAGGCTTTGATGTCCTTTGAGCCACTTGTATACCTGTGCTGGAAGCAGGAGCACTGCCTCAGAGCCAGCTAAACACCTTTCTTCTGCTGCCTCCTCGTCATTGCTCTTGTGTCATTTTGGAAGCACCTGGAATTAAGGCAGGGAAAGCAGAGAAAGCCCTTTGGCTTTCTACTTGTGGTTGTTTCTGAATGATCCCCTCTCCAACAAGGTAGGAAAAATAGGTGGGGTGGAGATTAATATTCTTCTGCTCGGTTTGCTTTCCCTTTGTGTCTCCTGTCTCCTCCCCCAAGTCCATCTAGACTATCAGATGGTCATGGGGTTTTATTCTTTCCCTTCTTAAATGTCTTACTCTCCTAAACTGGGGAAACACACTTCACAGGCCGTTTTCTGCTCTGTGAAAGAAGGTCCCTGGGAGTCCTGTAGAACCAAGCCTACATCACATTGGTGGATGACCAGCTGCTGCTCTGAGCCACCTTCCCATCCCAACCACACATTCAGGAACTTGGCACAGGGCACTTCATGTAACTGCTGACAGTCAGAACTGTTCACCCATTGTATGACTTGGTTTGCTCTGATGAGGTTGTGCCTGGTCTATTTTGATTGGTTGGTGCTTGGTCTGTTTTGATTGGCTAGTGCATAGCTGCACTGATTGTCCATCTCCCTATCTCAGGCGAGGGAAGTGGGTAAGACATTCAGAAGAGCAAATGAAGAGACATGAATATTTTTCAGTATGTTACTCCTTTGTATGTAGAGCTCACTTTTAAGTTGTAAGTAAACTTCCAGGGAAAGTTCTGCTTGTTAGAGTGCTTATGTCCACACTGTTGGAGTCAGACAAGGCTGTGCTTATTCCTGGACCTGCCTCTGACCAGCAGAATAACACTGGATTTGCTACCGACCTTCCTGATATGTATAGCACAGGTAAGGACACACAGAACAGCGCAGTGCCTGATACGTAGAGAACAGCTGCTCTTAGTACTGTATTTGTAAAACCAATTTGTTCTGAATTTTTGAATTTTAAGAGAATCCTATAAAACTCTGGTGTAGGGTAGATGAACATAACATCAACTATATAAACTCGAGTTTAACAGCCAGAGACAGGTGTATCTATTGGTGTTCATGGCTGAAAAATGAGAGACTTAAATGTGGCCCAGTGAGCAGACGGGAAGTTTAGCAAATGCAGTCTCAATGGAATGGTTGTGCCCCAAGAAGTGAAAATTAGTTTGGGGGACAAAAAAATCTAAGATATTACAATGGCCTGCAGTCCCTCTAAAGGGCCATTACATATAAACAGATGTTTTGGGTAACTGTGGCATTAAAATTTCAGTGGGTGGGGAGAAGTAGGAATGACCAAGGAAAGTCTTAAAAGAGTTCTGTGAGGTGCAAGAGAGCATAATCAGGTAGATGCATGTTTCCAAAGGAGAAGTAGGAAGCGCCCCTGTTACAGCTAACAGCACTGCAAGGCTAATCTTGATCTCTGCTTTCAGCCTAACTGATAATTAGGTGTCTCCGCCTTGGCACACAGACTGCTCTGTGGCTCCAGAGTGACCCCAGACCCCCTCCCCTTGGGCTTGGCTCGCTGTCTCTGACACAGTATTATTTATAGCCACGTCAGCCCGAGACAGCAGTGCCTCTGTCCTCCAGCCACATGAGTCACGTGGCTCCATGAGCCACCCCTGTACCACACTCGTGCCTCATTCCTGCCTCGCTTAGAACACGTCTGTTGCTGGGCACCGAAGATTTCATTCAGTCTGCCCAACAGCCATCTGGCATCCGGGCTCCTGGCATCCAGATTCTTCAGATGTGAAAACTGTGAATGACTATGTTCGTACAGCTCAGGAAGTGGCAGAGCTGCGATCAAATTTCCATCTGTCTGATACCAGAACCTGATTTAATCATCTCTGCCGTCTCCCGTGGCTTCTATCATAAGTTGGCTGCTCCTATGAGTTCCTAAACTCTTGAGGACACGAGCGTTTCAATTTTATTTCTTTTATTAGTACGTGTTTGCAGGACGCGATGTTTACATGCACCTTGGGGAGTGAGTACCCGTACGTAACACAACTTGCTTCTTGTTGTAGTCCGCTTCCTGCCCGTCTCCCACCCTCCACCCTAAGTCCCCTTTCCCCATTTTTATCTCATTGTTATTATTATCCTCAGCTCATGTTTATGACACATAACGTTTACAATTATCGAGGTTATTAGTTTCGTGTATATGGTTTATCTTGTTTCTACTTCCCCTTCCTCTCCCCCCTCCCTTCTGTTTTGTCTCCTGGACCCCTTCCCATCTGCAAGAGATCTAGCCCCTTATTTATTTCTATCTTTCCTTTTTGGTTTTACTTTGCCTAACTCAAAAGAGAGGTATTTAAGCTTGTGCAACTGATTTATTTCACTCAACATTATATTTTCCAGATACGTCCATTTTCTTCAAATGTCTCAAATTTATCTTTCTTTAAAACCAGGTGGTATGTATAGATGCCACATTTTAAAAATCTACTTGTCCGCTAATGACAGACTACTGTCAGGACTTAACTATTATAAATTGCGCTGCTATAAACATTAGTAGGTACGTATTGCTGTGCTACGCTTTTACCTCCTTGTGGGAAATACGTAGAAAGGGAATAGGTGGTCATATGTAAATTTCTAATTTTAGTTCTTTGAGAAATTTCCATCCTAGTTGTACTAGTTTGCATTCTTACCAAAAATGTAGGAGGGTTCCTTTTCAACACAGCCACGTTAGCATTTTTTGTTCTCTGACAGTATCACCATCCTTTCTTGTGTAAGATGAAATCTTAGTATTACTTTAATTTCCATTTCTTTAGTGCCAGAGAAGTTGAACATTTTTTCATATATTTGTTGGCCATTTGTACTTCTTCCTTTGAGAAGTGTCTGTTCATTTCATTTTCCCATTTCTTGATTGGATCTTTTATTTTACGTGGTCTAATTTTTTTGAGTTGTTTATATGTTCTACATATTAGTCCTCTGTCTAAGGACTGGCTGGCAAAGATTTTTCCGCCATTCATAGGTCGTCCCTTTACTCTTCTGAGTTTCTTGCTGTACAGTTTTTAATTTGATGTAAACCCATTTGTTGTTTCTTATTATTATTTCTCGGGTGATTGGGGTTCTGCTCTAAAAAAAAAACAACTCTTTCCTACACATATGACTTCAAGTATTTTACCTATTTTGTCTTCCAGTAGGTTCAGTGTTTCTGTTTTAATGCTTAGACCTTTGATCCATTTTGGCTTTAGTTTAGTACATGGTAAGAAGTATGCGTCCAGTTTCAGTCGTCTGCAAACAGCAGCATTTGTTGAATGGGCTATATCTTTCTTCCATGATATGCTCTTGGCCCCTTTGTCAAAGATCAAACTGCTGAATGCACCTGGAGTTGTTTCTGTGTCCTCTTCTGTTCCATTTGTCTGTTTTTGTTTTCAATACCATGTTGTTTTATCACTGTTGCTTGAGGACAAAAGCATTGACATCTATATTTTGCCGTTAAGAATGGTGCCTGGAACATAATTAACGCTCCATAAATACTGTTGAATGAATGAATGGATGGATAAATAACTGAATACACTTTGGAGCCTTTCTGAAAACTCAACTTTCAACTATCAAGAGAATGTCATTGTTCTTGATTCTACAAGTTCCATGGCTGAACAGTAGCCAACAATAATCTCTACTTCAATTTCCTGAGGGTGGAGGTTGTTTCTTCAGCCTGAGTGTGGTTAAGCAATCTCTACTGATACCTTCTTTTTTCTTGTGGAGTGAAGACAAATGTACTAGATGTATATAAAAGTTATAATAAAAATTTGAGAGACTCCTAAAATTAAATATTTTAAACACATTATGGTCATTTGAAGTATGTATCATACGACCTTGTAGGAAAGTTGTCTTTTTTCTCAGTTACCAGGGAAGTAGATATTTCAAAAGATGGACAGAAAACTGTGATGAATATTATGCTTTATGTATTTGTAAACTCTTCTTTTTCACAATTTTTCTTTTAAAATAATGCGATTTCAGTTATTTTAGTTTGTCTCAATTAGCAAACTTCATAGAAAATGTTTTTTTTCCTTTTTATGATGGCTCATTTATTTGGAATACAGTGTGGCCTTAGTTTCCTGGGTACCTATGATGGTTTTGATAAATTAACTACATGGATGATTAATGGGATTATTGTTTTAAAGTCTTTGAACTTTCTTCAAGAAAAGTCAAATTGTTAGTTTCTTTCAAAAATGATTCAAAGGCTACATTCATAAGCTACAGAACTGAAAGGTAAAATCTTGAATGAATTTATCATGTAGGCCTATATGAAAGAAATCAAGGGAGAAGCTTAATACTCTAGCTTCCATGTTGATTTTCTTCTAGTGGAGTCTTTTTGAAGTGATCTTTTTTTTTTTTTTTTTTTTTTTTTTTTTTTTTTGAGGGGGAAA